TGTTTTCTTGAGCCCTACTCCTCCCAACTAATTATAGGATTCGGTCTAGCCCTCTTGTCTCATCATTCATTCTTCCTTTAGAAAACAAGAGGTTCCCTCCACTTCATATTCTTTCAATGACGGTTGTGAACTCTCTTGCGACACTGCAACTTGCTCAAGCTGCCATCTTCAATGGGAAGTGTTTTGGGAGTGCTGAGGACTTTTCCCGGTACCTCCGCAAGTTCCAGGATCGTGAGCTTTGTCCTTCTGTTGATTTTGATCCCTCCCACTTCAATAGGTATGCCATGAACATACCTGCGCTCATAAACTCTATTGGGTGGAGTGATGTTATGCTCAATCAGCATTTTGGTCATTGTCCTGAACCAGTTCGCATGTTCTATGTGAACATGAAGCCTGCTTCAACACTATCCCCCCATCATTAACCACGATTGTGTTCAATTACTTGATCACAATCAATGTTGATTTGTTGTCCCTGCTTCTGGGGATTCCCATCCATGGTGCTGAAGTCATGGATGTCTCTGACTTCCAATCTGCTGGGTTCAATGAGATTGAAGCTCTTCGTCAGTACACTCGAGACACTGGGCGATACTATCCGAACATGTTGTCTTTAGGACGCCTTCCGGATGACCTCAAATTCCTCCACTACTACATCACTCGAGTCTTTCTCCCTCGGTCTTATAGTCATTCCACGATCCATCCCACTAACATGTGGATCATGGTCAGTGCCAAAGAAAATCGTCTCATTAGTTATCCTCATTTAATGTTTGGTCACATGATCACTTATTCTGAGGATAACCTCAACGGAGCTCTTCCCTTTGCACCTCAAATCACTTTGTTGCTTCGTGCACTTGGGGTTGATTTGCGCTACAAGGTATCCCGAGTGGATATGATTGATCGACTTCAGGCTCAGTTCATCCTTCGCAAAGTTGATGCCTCTGTGGGACGTCGTCGCCCTCTGGTCAATGCTCCAGGGGGAGATCAGGCTATCAACAAAGTTCCTGATTCTGAAGACGGTCTCAGCATTGCTGATCTGGTTGCTGATCTCACTCAAGGAAATAAAGATGACGGAGCAAGCTCAAGCGAGATTCAAAAGGGGTTGACTGATGTTGAAGCTCTTGAGATCAGCAGCGATGATGAGGACATCTCTGATTACATTCCATCTCCACCTCATCCGTTTTGAATCAATAAGATGGGAACTAATCTGAGGGGGAGCAGAACTAGATCCAATGATAGGTTGAAGTTTGAATACGTCCAGGTTAAAATGTGTCTGAAGTCTATAAAAGGTTATGTCTCAACAGAACACTGAGTATCCAGTCTGCAGTTTCTTTTTAAGTCTGAATAATTTTGAGTGTCGAGGTTGTGCTTTTGCTTGATTAAGCGTCGCGTTTGAGTCAGGTGTATCCAGTTGAGTTAATCGAATAAAAATCTCCCTCACTTTTTCAATGACTGCTTAACTTTCAACAATGTCTCTATTTAAAAGAACAGTCTGCACGTAATCGTGTGATGAATGAGTGCAGGAACTTCATATGCAGCGAGATGGGACCATTGACCGGCTTAGGGGGAGACTGTTGGGAGGAAGCCTGTCAATGGACAACTGGATGATGAATCAATGATATGGAAAATGGAAACTAAGGAAAGGAGGATCAATCACAAGGCTAGCGCATGATATATTATCTAAAAGGGAAAGAAGTATCAAACTCAAGAGCGGGAAGATTGAGGAACGATTACTCCTGCGAAGCAACAAAAGAAAGTTTTCAAATAAGGATCTCCACCTAACGGCTATACCAAGACAGTACAAAAGGAGCATCTAGCAGCATACCAACAGTCACTTTTCTGGAGATCACTCATACAGAGAGAGCTAAGATCATAGCTAGTGTGATTGATAAGAAAAGAGAGACTAATTCATCTTCTGGAGAGAATTTGGGTTAGGGGTATGTTGGTTAAACACAGTAGCTGGATAGTTGGGTGAGATATCAGGGTTAAATCGAAACAATCAACTTTCCAGGATAGGGTTGATTGATTTCATAGCTGTACACTTGAGAAACATCAAGGAACGTCGTGCTTAGTGGAACGTCGGAAATCACCTCTACGTGATCATCCGACCGTGGATTAGTCAGAGTTGGGATTCAATTTTTACCCAGCTCTGGAAACCACGTAAAAAGTGATTGTGTTCACTTATCTTTTATTGCTTATAGCTTGTGCTCAAAAACTTACTCTGCTTCTGCAAGGTTTAGTGTGTTGATCCGAAAACAGGGGATTTGATTCAGAGAAACAAGAAGAAGGAGCTGGGTCTGCAATTCCGAAACGCACAGCTTTGGGTAAAGATAACTCGAAAGTGCTTTATTTTTGGCCCGGAACGAACAATTGACTGGGCCAAAGGAACCAAGCCCATTTGCAAAGAAAGTCAGACCCAATTCGTACTTCTCTCCTTTACTGTTTACATTTCAAACATTTCTTTCAGTTCTTTTCCATTCTTCACCTGTTCTTGGCAAAAGTCTAATTAGGGTTCGCAGGTGAAAGTTTCAGTCGGACGAAGTGCAGGCATCTCTCGCTCGACGCCACCAACACCTTTATTTAGAAAATCCAGATCTAAGGATAGAGAATTAAATGTCATTTTTATTTTCCCTAGCTTTCTTAATTGACTCATATTGTTTTCGTTTTAACTCGGATTTTAATTCTTTTTTGCACAGATGGAACGAGTTCATCGTGCTCTACAAAATGAGATAAATTTTCAATATTTTTTTAGAAAACAAAAATTTTGGCCTCTCGGTAGCAACTGCATACCATATGGTATCTTCTACGTTTTTAATTCGTTTTTTAAAACGCTTGCACAGAAGGGACGAGTTCATCATGATCTATCGGATCTACAAATTTCTGGGTGAACAAATTATAGGACCAAAAAATACCACAGAATACCATACAATACCACCCTGGTACTGGGTGGTATCTTGCGGTACACAATGTTAAAAGTCGTAAATGACAATTAATATACTTCTATTATCAATGATTCAACCATCCTACAATCTTGGTTTTTTAATACCATCATGGTACGCTTTTCAAACCATATGTATGCTCTCATTTCAATACCAGTCAATACCATATGGTATAGACTGGTAAAAAATGGCTCGATTTTTTTTGTTCGAAAAATATATCAAAATGGATATCATTTTGAAGAACACAATTAACCTGATCTGATTGTGCAAAAAAAAATTGAATTTCAACTTAAAACGAGTGAGAAATCGTCCGTCAAAGATTAAGGAGGGGAAAATTAAAGGCTTTTAGGAGAGAGAGGATGCTGATATCATGCTGATGTGGACGGGTTACTCATGGCTACTCACCATAAGGTTACTGACCTGATCTATTCCCTGAAGAAGCTGACAGAAAAGGTAGCAAGTGGTATGTCATATTCAATGGACCATATCGAGGAGTATATCACAACTGGGCCATCGCTAGCTAGCACATAAATGGCAAACAAGTCCAACATCAATCATTTTAAACAAAAGAAGCATCCTAAAAAGCATTTATAAAAGTCATACTAGGTGATGGCAATGAAAGAACTAGTCAAGAATCAAGAGCAACAATTGCAGAAACTTATCATGAAGATACCTGTATCAATAGCATCCCAACTACCAAAGAAAAAGAAGAACAATTAAAACCAGTCTTTCAAAAGTTCGTATCTAACTGGGATATGATAATCAACTATGAAGAAAAACACACAACCATAAGTTTTTACCCTGTCAGTCGAGGAGGACCCAAAGTAGTAATCACTGAAGAAGCATCACCAGAACTCTCTTTTGAGTTCCATCAGTATGGATTAATTGACACAATCTACACTACAACCATGAAAGTATTTGAATACTTCCCACAAAGAACGAGGAACGTAATCAGAAGATACCTTGAGCTATTTGCCAAGGAATGAGAAATATTTCTCAAGTATACAAGCAGCTATCCTGAATTCGATCAAGACAAGCCATTAGTCGGATAAAAGATAGTTATCCTTATGAAAGTATCAAACCTTGATTATCCTACCAGAGATAACCTACGAGATTATGAGAAGAACCCAGACTACCAAGTAAAGGGTCTTCTAGCAGTATGCAGAGCATTAACCAAGATTGAACTAGAAACTCAGATCAAAGTCAATTACAGCAGCCCCGATGCCATCATCACCAGCAAAACTAGAGAAAACTTGACCAAAGAAGAATGGATGATCATAACAGATAAAATTAAAGAATTCACTAAAATTAATGGAAATCTGGCAGCTCTTCTCATCCAAATCAAGAAACAGCTTTGCAATTCACTTACTATCTATGAGGACCACTTCTGTGAGTGGTGTGCATCAACTGATGAAGACATCAATGGACCAGCAGACCAAGACTGAGAGAAGCATGTGAAGAAAGAGGAATAAAACAAATATGGGATAAAACAACAAGGAAAGGTTGGCCGACTCCTTTAAAAAAAGTCGTGCATTATTGTATCTTATCAACTTTTCTTATCGTTTCACGTGTTTTCTTTTGACGTGTTAGCTTTACGTCTCTGTCACACAAACGTAAGCAATTATGTCTTTGTATATGCTCTCAGCTCTATATAAGAGCAAGAGTTTGCAATGAAATAAGGCAGATAGAGTTTGGCCATAAAAATTGCCTGTTTACTATCTCCCTCTAGCTTGCTAGTTGTAAGGCGTGAATCCACTGATCCTGGAGGCCACGACCACCATCAATATAATCAAACGTACGGAGAGCAGCTACAATCATCAAGCGATCATAAAAAAAACTTAGGGTTTCCTTAGAAAAACAAGTCAGGTATGTCTAATAATCCTACCTCTAGTTATTTTGACTACTTGAACAAAAACGATGATGAAAACTACTTCTTAGATGGTGTTATAGAAATTAAGAAAATTAGAGAAAAAACTAATTTTACTATTTCGGAAACTCAAAACTTTATCACTAAGTCTTTTTTTATCAAAACTCTTTGATAGAGAAAACATTATTAAATACGGTAAAATGATAGGTGAAGTAGCAATCCCTATTGATCAAACTAAGGGCGATTTTCTAATCCAAGTAATAAATAAAGAACAAATTAAAAAAAGATTAGCTAAACTAAGATCAGAAGAACAAAATAAAATAGCTTATATTCATATTAGTATAATTCAAATTATCTTAGAATCAACCATGAAAATAGGAATTAACGGACTCATGGAATTAGAAATTCGTGATGATAAACTCATTAATGAAGAAAAAAGTATTATTGCCAAAGGAACGGGAAATTTAGGAGTAGGAATATTTAAATTTGATATTAACCTACAACAAGGATTGAGCCTAGCAGATGGTAACCTTGACTCCTCTATTATTATAAAATATAAATTAAAAAGAGAAAATTTTATGAAAGAAAATAGCAAACCATTTTCAGTAACTTATCAAATAAACTATGAGTTAACAAATAGTCACCACAGTTTAACCTTCAAAAATAAAGAAGTAATTACTATAGAAGATTTATTTAAACCTGTAATCTAATTAGAAGCACCCCTAAAAACCGTTAAAATAGAACCTAGCCGACCATCAATAACTCAAGATCAAAGACGGATGATTAGAACACAATCAGAGAGGATTAGACATATCCCAGTAATTTAACAAAATCTAGAACGAGAAGAGATAATCAATAATCAAGTAATAAATAAGTTAGAGAAATTGCAACATTCAATAACAAATTTAGAGAAAAAAATCTGACAACTATAAAATAAGTATATACACAAATTAATTGAAGGAATAGAAACTATAAATCTCACATCAATAAATGATATCACTACAGTCACACATGAACTAACTTACTTTGTCTCAGAAATTGTAGAGGAACAAATGAGTATTGAAACCACAAAAACATTAGAAGAAGCTGTCTCTAAAACCGCATTAATTACTGATATAATAACCAGTCTAAATAAAATAAAACAAAGATTACTAAATTAGTAAAATTAAATTTTGGTTTTATATGTTTGGTATCAGAGCCGGGAAAGAAGGGGAAATGAAACGTGAGGAGTCAGGAAAGGAGAAGACTACTTTTATCTTCTCTTTTCTTTTAAACATACCTCTTGCCTTTTTCTCTTATCTCTAATGAGATGTTGGTGTTGGAGGCAGGCAGCTTGTCGAATGAAGAACTTGTCAAATGAAGCCAAATCAAGTCCATATCTTTCGTGCTGAACAAGAAACTGAGAACGGGCAGAAAAGGTCAAGAAGGAAAGTTTTCAACTTCTTGCCATAAACCCATTCAAGGAAGGAAAAGGAAAGAAAGAGTAACGGTATGGTGATTGCAAATAAAAAGGGGCTGAAGAGAAAGAGGAGCAGTTACTTTTCGGAAGATCATTCATACAGGGGAAGCTAAAGTTGTAGCGTGTGTGAGTGATAAGAAAAGCCAGGTTGATCCGACTTCTGGAGAGAATTTGGGTCAGGGGATTGTGTTGAGTGAAACACGGGTAGCAGGATTGCTAGTGAGAAAACTGAGTGTGAGTTGAGTCAATCATCAGTCCTGGACTGGATTGAGAGATTTCGGAGCTGCTCATCATTGTAATCAAGTAACAATCCGCAGGCTTAGTGGAGCGTCGGAAATCACATCATCGTGATCTTCCGACCGTGGAATAGTCAGAGTTGGGAATCAATTGACCCAACTCTGGAAACCACGTAAAAAACCGATCGTGTCTTTATTCTTGTGTTCTGTATGTGCTTGGTGTGAGTCTTACTCTGTTCTGTTCTGATAGTGTCTGCTTGGTTAAGTGGTTAATTGAAACAGGGGATTCAGATCGGTGAAGTACAGGGGAGAAGAAGAAGGCCCTGCCTCGAAACGCACCGGGTGGATCAGAACTTCACTTCTATTCTGGACTATTGGATCAGTGAGACTAAACATTTGGGCTTGAGACGTTTGGCCCAGTTTTACCTAAAATCCGATCAGCATTTTTATTATTCATTTTCATTTCATTTGTGTTTAGAGGAAATTCTTGGTGTCTCTCACTTGTATCTGGTCGAAGTTGAGTTAGGGTTTCAGGTCAGAAAAGAAGAGGAAACTCTCCATCGAGAGTAGGCTTCTCGCGCTCTAAGCTGTCAACAGGTGGTATCAGAGCCCGGCTCCGCGCCTAAAGGCTTAACATCCTTCGGAGAATCTTGAGATGGCTTCAGGATCAGCGAGCAATGCTCCTCTTTATCTTGCAGATGGATTTTCACAGAATAGGCCGCCACGATTCGAAGGGGTTAACTACGGGTACTGGAAGAATCGTATGGAGCTGTTCGTGGGATCGACTGACCCAAAACTTTGGGCAAGGGTTATCAAAGGACCTCACGAGCTCAAAGAAGATCAAGAAAAATGGAGTGATGAAGATTTCGAGAAATTTCAGTAGAACTGCAAAGCCACGAATCTGATGTACTGTGCTCTTGGCCCAGAAGAGTGCCACAAAGTAGCAGGGTTCAAAACTGCGAAAGAAATCTGGGATAAGCTTCAAGTAACGTATGAGGGAACGTCACAGGTTAAAACCTCTCGGATAAACTCCTTGAAGCACCAGTTCGAGTTATTCAAGATGGAAGAAGGAGAATCGATCAGAATGATGTACGAGAGATTCACTAACATAGTGAACAGCCTCGAGAATCTGGGAAAATCGTATGAAAGTGGGGATCTCGTAAGAAAGATCATGTGGAGCTTGCCAGAAAAGTGGACACCGAAGATTACGGCAATAGAAGAAGCAAAAGACTTGGAAAAATTGTCGGTGGATGAGTTGATTGGGTCACTGGTTGCTCATGAAGACAAACTGAACAAGGCTGGACAAGAAAAAGAAGTTCATGACAAGGGGAAAAGAGGAGTTGCATTCAAAGCTATCACATCGCTGGAAGACTCAGAAGAGTTAGATGATATGGAAGACGAAGAACTGGCCTTACTGAGTAAGCAAGTCAGTAGACTGCTCAAAATTCAAAGAGAAAAGAAGTATGGCAATTCTGGAGGCAAGGTCAAGGACCTTGATAGAAATGAAAACGGAGTAAAAGGGAATCAGTTCAGGTCCTTCTCAAGAAGTAGAACTGATGTGAACCAGAACAACAGGAGTGTCAACACAACAAGATGCTTTAAATGCGGACGAGCAGGACATATCAAGGCTGAATGCCCACAACTCAAGAAAGTGGCAGCTACCTGGAGCTGCAGTGAAGATGAAATGGATGAGGACGACGAAGTTATTGTCCAAAGATCGTTCATGGCCATTGCTGATTTGGAAGATGAGTCAATCGAGCCAAACAGCAACCTGAGACAGAGTTGTTTGCAAGTGAGCACTGAGGATACCAGATGGATCATGGATAGCGGGTGCTCCCATCACATGACAGGTAACAGGAAACTGTTTTCTAGTCTGAGTCTGAGAGATTTTGGAAAAGTATATTTTGGAGACAACAACTCTGCTCACATCATTGGTAAAGGTCAAGTAGGAACTGATCCTTGCATTAAAAATGTTATGTTGGTTGATGGTTTGAAACATAATCTCATGTCTATCAGTCAAATGTGTGGGAAGAATTGCAGGGTAGTGTTCGAACCTAACTGTTGCTATGTAGAAAACATTCTGAACAACCAAGTGGTGTTTACTGGTCAAAGAAACGGGAAAATATACACTATTGATCTAAATGATAAGGACAGTTTCAATGAGACTTGCTTGATCAGTCTAGATAAAAGTGATCAGGAAGAATGGCATAGAAAACTGGGGCATGTTAATGTTAGTGTTCTGTCTAAACTGGTTAGATTAAATTTAGTAAAAGGGCTTCCAAAAATAAATGAGAAAAGGGACTTTTTCTGTGATGCTTGTGCTAGGGGTAAACAGACCAGGTCTAGTTTCAAATCTAAAACAGTTATATCCACATCAAGGCCTCTAGAACTGTTGCACCTAGACTTGTTTGGTCCTACTAATGTAGTCAGTTATGGTGGTAAATCATATGCCTTTGTTGTAGTTGATGATTATTCTAGATTTACCTGGGTACTATTTCTCAGTAGAAAGGATGAAGCTTTTGAAAACTTTAGAGTTCTGGTTAAAAGAATTGAGAATGAAAAATTAGCCAAGGTTTGTAGCATCAGAAGTGACCACGGAGGAGAATTTAGCTCTGAATCTTTTGAACAGTATTGCAATGACCTAGGTATTTCTCATAATTTTTCTGCTCCGAGGACACCACAACAGAATGGTGTTGTGGAGAGGAAAAACAGAACTCTCATAGACATTGCTCGAACTATGTTGAATGATTATGGTATTCCAAAGTATTTTTGGGCAGAAGCTATTAACACAGCTTGCTACACTGTCAATCGAGCCTTAATTAGATCAGGTGTCAACAAAACCCCCTATGAAATCTGGAAAGGAAGAAAACCTAATCTAGGTTATTTTCATGCTTTTGGGTGTAAGTGTTTTGTTCTGAACACCAAAGATCACCTAGGAAAATTTGACTCAAAATCTGATGAATCAGTGTCCCTAGGCTACTCAAACACCAGCAAGGCTTACCGTGTGTTCAATAAACGGACCCTCAAGGTTGAGGAGTCCGTCAATGTTATTTTTGATGAATCTGTTGCTGTGAGAACAGATAATGTTGATGATGACGACTTTGGACTTGGGAGGCAGCAACTTGCCGCCAAAGAAGATGATGGGACATCTGGACAACAATCTGAGGAAACAACTGGTAAGATGAAGGACAGTCAGACACAGCCAGAAGAAGGAACTAATGAAGCTGATTCAGAAGCACACCCTCCAGCCTACATTGTGAAACGACATCCTCCTGAACAGATAATAGGAAGCATAACTCAAGGTATGATTACTCGATCAAAGACTCCTCCGTCTACTGTTGCTTATGTGTCTTTAGTAGAACCTAAGAATGTGCATGAAGCTTTGCAAGATGAATTCTGGACTGCATCTATGTTTGATGAAATGCATCAGTTTGAGCGTGCCAACGTGTGGGAACTTGTTCCAAAACCTGAAAATAGGGTAATAATAGGCACTAAGTGGATATATAAAAACAAATCTGATGAGGTAGGCACTGTGGTCAGGAACAAATCCAGATTAGTTGCTCAAGGGTATTGCCAGGAAGAAGGGATAGACTATGAGGAAACTTTTGCTCCTGTAGCCCGTTTAGAAGCCATTCGGTTGCTATGTGCTTATGCTAGTTCAAAGGGTTTTAAATTATACCAAATGGATGTTAAGAGTGCATTTCTGAATGGGGACTTAAAAGAAGAAGTTTTTGTAGCCCAACCTCCAGGTTTCGAAGACCATAGATATCCTAATCACGTTTATAAACTAAAAAAGGCCTTGTATGGTTTGAAACAAGCCCCTAGGGCCTGGTATGACAAACTTAGCTCCTTTCTGCTTGAAAATGGCTTTAGGAGAGGTCTGGTGGACAAAACCTTGTTTGTCAAGCATCTAAATAATCATATTCTTCTGGTTTCAGGTGTATGTTGACGATATCATCTTTGGGGCCACTTGTGAAAGTTTGTGTAGAGAGTTTGAGTCAAAAATGAAAAATGC